ATGATTTAGAGCTGGTGAGATGGACACTCAAAACACTGCAATGAAAGCAATCTGTCTCAGGAACATGCAAATCCAGGCTTTCAAGTCATAATAAGATACTAGTAACCTTATTATGGAAAGTTTTAAATTCTTTTGAAAAAATCAACTTTATTTGATTTATATAAACAACACCTCAGAGTTCCTTACCAAGTAAAAGGAATCAGCATGCATAACTTTTTCAAAGAAATATTTGATGAACTCATGTAACACCATAGTACTTACGTGACCTATACAGAGTAAGTACACTTACCTAAGCTTTTTCTTTGTAGTGGCCTCTACAACCCAATCACCAACACAATTAAGATCAGTGTCCCTAGGAAGGAGATCAACCTGAAAGTAAATCAATGAGGAATTTGAGAAACTTTGCTGTAGAAACCAAACATTCACATTACAAAGTTGCAAATCACCAACCTGCAGAATATTACCTTAGTCACAACTAGTATTATTGGATTGGCACCAACAAGATCACGCAAGCGAGCCAAAAAGCTGCCATTGAAGTCCACAACATCAACCTACTTCTCCAAGAGACCCATAGCAAATCAGATGCCCATGTATCATCAACACATCGTAACAACAATTTGTGACGTTGTGAATCTCATTTTCAACAATAAAGGAACAAAAAATTTCAAAGTAATGCATTAACTTCTTCCTAAGAAAATGTAATAAAACAGTAAGCACTTACCAATTTGACAATCAAGGCTTTCTCATGCCGCAAATGAGACAGCTTTTCACGAAGCTCGTCGGCTGAAACAAACTGCTTCCCACCGGAATACCCGCCATTTCCACCAACAGCAGTTATCATGTGCCCATGAGATAAAAGCCTGCACCTTCCACAAAGAACTGTTCTAAGTTGGCGGTGTCTCTTCTTCTGCAACCCCAAGAAAATCAAAGCTTTAATAACCACTCTCACATTATCAAAATTGCACATTTTTTTCACATGCCAATAAATCTCTCACATGTGATGATCAACTGATATCTAACTTATCGTCTGGACACAATTTCAAAATAAAACATCTCAGCTCTCAAGACCAAACAAATCAAATGTCTCTCAGCTAAAATCACCAAATAAACAAAGCCCACAAACTCCTTTTAACCAAATAGCATTGTTTCTACATACCAATTCATAAGTATCCGGGTCAACAAAACCCGGAGCATCAGGATCCAAGGTATGCAACGGAGCTCCACAACCATAACAACTAGCAACAGCTGTATTGAGCTTCAAAGCCTTCCCTTTCTCTCTTCTCTTACTCTTCTTCACCTCTTTCATTACCAACTTAGCAGCCTCGAACGATTTTTGACGCTCAAGGAACTGGTCTCCTCGGGAAGGAGCAGCTGCCCCGGTGCCATCCGGGTCGGGTGTGGAAACAGAGGAGTGGGTTGTCGCTGTTGGCGTTTGCTGTGATTTGCAAAGGATGGGAGAGGGTTTGGTGTAAATTCTAAGGAATTTAGGGGTGAAGTATGTGAGATTATGGGGGGTAGAGAGTGGAAAGAGAAATGCGGAGACGGATTTAGGTGCCATGGATGACCGTTAAGTGGAGAAGAGAGGGTTTATGTGGGGAGGAGTTGCGGGGTTTTATTTTTAACTCGATAATGGATGAGGATTGATTATGTGAATGGCTAAAAATCATGCATGGTCCTTATACTTTTATACCTGTTCAAATTAAATCTTACACTTTAAAAGTTGTCCAGATCAAAATTGTTCTTCTATGAAAGCGCAGCTCTAGCATCTTCTTATTTATTACCTACATATTTTGTTTTTTAAAATATTTTTAATTTAAAAATATATTTTTTTATTTTTAGCTTTATCATATTAAAACAATAAAAAAATAAATTTTTAAAAAATGATAGTTAGATCACAATGTGAAGCAAAGTCTTAGCGTGGGATCAAATCTTGCTTCATTGCTGCTCTTCCAGGAGCTAGCTTTATTCGGTAAAAAAAATATTTTTTAGTTTTTTAGATTTTTTAATTTTTTTTAAAAAAAATATTCTTAGAAATTTCAAAACATTTTTCAACTTAGAAAATTGAAAAATGTATTTATATTACATTATTTTTTGTTTGAAAAAAATAACATAATAGGAAATGCATTCAATTTAACTTGTTTTCTTGGATATCATTTACATTTTGACATAGAAAAACACTTCTTTTTCTTATATCTACGATGCTATATGATTTTCTCAAAATAAATCTCATCGAGCTATCAAAGTTGAAATGTTCTAAAAAAGCAAATTGAATGTACAACATAAATTATTACAACAACCTTCATTTGATCAGCCACCTTGTAAAGAAATATTTTGTGTTAAATGACAAGATGACGAGGCTACATGAGAATAGAAATATTGTTTTAAATGAAAAAATAGAAGCTTTCAGCACCACATCTATAATGAATTTAAATTTGCTCTGTAATCTATAGAACCTAACATCCCTTTTCCCATATGCTTTGATTTGTCCTCAAGTCATACAACTCTTATACCTCAAGTTGCTACTTAAACCTAATTCATTTGAGAATTGTGGCAATGAAGGATAAACTTTATTCACTTATAAAAATGAATGGAAAAAACATGTATAGATGATAAAAGCCAATTATAATAACAATCTTAATGATGAAGAATATAATTGGTGAGTTAATATAAAAAAAAATATGATGAAAATCTATACTAGTTAAAGATGAGATTTTTCCATCTGAAAACTTAAGAAAACTCATTACAATGAATGAATACATGCCAAAAGAACTAAGAAGAATGGAAAATGTATTCTTTTCTTACCATTAATTTAATAGAGTGAAAACTTTTACTGAAAAAGTCACAGAAAAAATCCATGGTGGCTCTCTAAACCTACCAGATGATGTATGCTCCATTAAGATATCTTTCAACAATGAAGACTAATTGTTTGGATCAAAACTCTATATTCATCATTTTTTAATCAAAGATTATGTCATCAAAAAGATGATGAATTATATTTTAGTGGATGATGGCTTAACGGTTAACATTCTATATTTTAAAACCATGAAAAAGCTTTAAATTTCTATAAATGAACTCTTCCCAAATTATCTAATGATTCAATGCTTTAATTAAGAAAAATGTCTTAGGAAAAATAAGAATTATGATATGCATAGAAGATATAAAATCTAATATACATTTTACATCATATATCTTAAAACTACATATGATATGGTACTTAAATGACTATGAATACACAAAAATAATGTTATCTCCTCAAAACTTTACTAATATTATAAGTATTGTTAAATTGATAAGTAAGAAAGATTATGTCAGATAACAGTTCTTTTACTATAGCTAAAACTCATTTTACCATCACATAGTTATATTTGAAATCAATTATAATTAAAAAACTATGATTCCCACCTGACTATTAAAAAGAGAAAAAAGTGGACCTTAAAAACTCAAAAGAGTTTAAATCATCTTCGAATAAAAAAATAATCAATCCAATAAAAAGAAATGATAGTAAAAAACTTGATTGATATTAATATGTCGAGTAAGGCCATGGTGTTACGCTATATTCTAGTATCATAAAAAGAAGATGATCAATCTTCTACCACTAAGGATAAAAAGAAGATTTTCTAAGGACTAAAAAACTTAACTTTGCAAGTTATCAATCTTGTATTGACTAAATTTCTAAAATCTTTATTGAAAATGTTTCTTCATCAAGTTGAGTTAGTGGTTGACTTAATTTTGCAAGTTATCAATCTTGTATTGGCTAAATTTTTAAAATCTTTATTGAAAATGTTTACTCATCAAGTTGAGTCAATAGTTACAAATCTCAAAGAACTCTGGTAAATAGATTTGATCTCAACTCTTACAAGTTTTCAGCCAAGATTGATTATAGCTGTGAAGATATCAATAAATTAATCAAGTTTGATGATATGACTTGAATGGAAGGCAAGCTTCTACAAAAACTAGAAAGGCTTAAAGAGAGAAGAAAACTTTTGGAAACACTAGAGTTGGTTTTGTACATGAATCTTCTATATTATTTTATTTCAAGATTAAAAAAGAAGCTTCATCATATATAAACATGGAATTTATTTTTGGAATAGAAAATAAAATATTACCAATATAAAAAGTACAAGTACATCACTTTTTTCACGTTACGTATATAAAAAAAAATGTAAAATTAGTGTAAACTGAATCCTGAATTGCCTTGACATTCCAGGTATCGATCGAATCTTTTTATTAAATGAAAATTCTGAAACTACAATGTTTGAATTGCCTCTACCGGAATTTGTAACATTCCAGAGCCCAAAAGGCTGGCTGTTGTCATCATTACCCTCTTGCTGGGCAACGAGGTTCTGCAAACCTGCTTGCCAGTGCCTCTAAGTGTGGATTGATGATGATTATTTTGTTTATTAAACATCAAGTTGAATCAGAAAAGGCTGGGGTAATCTCAGCTGTTGATGGGGTTGATTGTGTGGTGATAGGCCCATTATATCCGAGAGCAAGCACGAGGTACCTCTGGGGCCCTGGGCATGAGAAGGTCAAGGCGGAGATGAGGGAAGCTGAACAAGAAGTTTTGGGTAGTATTAAGAAGGGTAGCGTGGCTTTCTCAGATGGGTTTGCTATGGCTCATGATGACCTGATGAGTTCAAAAGAATCGATTTTTATCATGCTTTAGGATGGATTGATAGTTGTTTCTTGGGAGAGAGAAGAAAACGAAGGGAAAGGCAACGCTTGCTTGTTATGGAAAATGTGTGCTTACAGCTATAATTTGGAAATGATGAGAAACGGTTGCCAAAAATCAGGTGAAGGAATTATATTAGAGACGTACATGAGCAAACAACCACGATTCAATACAGGAAAGAACAAATACTAAATAGTGATTAATTTATTAACGATTAGAAGTTAAATAAATAGGAACATTGTCATCCCTAAGATTAAAAATAAGACCAAAAAAGCAGCAGCAAATAATAGGAAAATATATAACAAGTTTCAATCACAGAAAACCGCAATTAAACTCCAACACCTTCTGAAACCCCCCTCCTGACAGTATCGGGAGCTTGAGTAGGGAACACAACATTGTCATAGAGAAGCCCGGCAACTGAGGCTCCGATCAAGGGTCCCACCCAATAAACAGCCTGGTTTTTGAACTTTCCGGCAATAACTGCAGACCCAAATGCACATGCTGGATTCATCGAGCCACCAGAGAAGGGTCCAGCTGCCAAGACATTGGCTCCTGCCATGAGACCTACTGCCAAAGGTCCAATGGCACCCAATGAACTACGTCTAGGGTCTCCAGCAGCATAAACAGTGTACACCAAACCAAATGTCATCACACCTTCTAGCAGGGATGCTCCGAATCCTGTCATTTCCTCTGCAATTGTGTAGGTTGGAACATGCTACAAAATTCCAGAATATAAATTACATCTTAGTGATGGTGCAGGACAAGAAAATGCAAGCAAATATTGTTAGTGCATAATTCCAATCAGGTAGAAGATGCTATCTAATCCAACTTGCAAAAAATGCGAAGGGATTTTATTACCTGTCCTACAGTGGTCACTTTCAGGAAAATGCTAGCCATAACAGAGGCCAAAATCTGAGAAATCCAGTAGAATAGAGCAGTGGGCACATTAATGTGGCCTCCAACAGCCATGCCAAACGTGACAGCAGGATTTACATGTCCTCCAGAGGCATTTGCAGCAATGTACACCGCCGAGGAAAGTGCAAAAGCATTCGCAATAGCGACTATCACTAGGCTGGATGGATCTGCTGCTGCATCTGGCAATAATTTCCCTGACGTACACACCCAAATCAAACATCAGCCTTGAAACTTGTCAACCGTTACTTGCAAGAAAAGCACTAAATCATGTCTTCTTCTCGTGCAAATGAAGAAGACGGGGACTCAACTTTCTAGCAAGTCACTCTGATATGATAACACAGATCAATATTTTGGAGGTACCTCTGCATGTCATTAGAACAAAACCACAGAAGTCCACAACTAAGCTTATTTCATGACCAACCAATTCAATTCTGTTTACAAATCATCAAACAAACCATACCAGAATTGACAAATGGTCCTGAATTTCCATTTTACATGTTAGTATTGCGTTCGAAAAAAGAAAACAAATGGTCCTGAATTTCCATTTTACATGCTAGTATTGCGTTCGAAAAAAGAAAAAAACGATACTGATTTAAATACAAACGAGGATTATTTAGACTGACATATTACAAAAAGAAATGGATAATCACGACAACCCCTTTAACTAAACAGAAGACAAGTGTTACTCAACACTCACTTGAAGCCATGGCAGATCCTACAACTGCAAACACATAAAAGAAAGTGGAGATGAACTCTGCAAGATAGGCTCTAAGAGAAGCAGGAGTGACAGATTGTTGGAAACGTGCAGTCAGTGATGTTGGTGCCATTTTACCAAATATCAACATGTGGCCAAGACAAGAGTTTCAAGTCAGGATTTTTCTAAGGCAGGAGATTAGAGAGAGATTGCAAAACCTTTTTTATGTAAAGCAGTTATAGAGAGATTGCAACAATGTTCGTATACGTATATGTGCGTCTGTTCAGGGTTGCCAACCCATGATTCAAAAATTAACCGCTATATAATACGTGGTAGAATTTCATTGCTACTTTCTGTGATTAGCAGTTTGTACAGTTGCCATCCTTCTGTATTTGTGAAAATTCCCTAGATGAACTTTTACTTCAAAACATAACACTAACAGAGTTATCATGGTATAAGATCAATTTTGCTGAACCTCATCAGTTTAAGTAGCATGCAGATCAAAACTTCTAATTCTCAGAAAAGGGAAAAAATATATATATATATCAATCACAGTCCTGTTTTCTGTAAAATAGACCTTGACATCTTAACTTGGGTGGGATGTGGGTTTATTTTCGAGGTTATCATCCTTGGATTTGATTTCGCCGAGAGTTGAACCAAAGAAAAATAAAAGCAAAGAGTATTTCATATTTTGTCAATTTGTTGTTTCTTTAATGAGAGAAATTGCATAAATTGCTTAAAAAAAGAAAAAATAGAAAAGGAAAACATTATTCCTAACACACACACATAGAAAGAGAGAACTAAAACAAAGAAGGTGTTCTGTTCCTCTCGATTAGTTAATTCAGCTACTAGAAATATTTAAGAACTGGAAGCCCTGTTTGAAGGCAGATCACATCCCTTGTCCATTCTTGTTTGCAGCAATATCATTGGATTTTGCAGGCAAAGGAGAAGAGCCATCAACACTGCACGATGCAAAACTATAGTATTGCTATAGTGTACAGAAAATAAGTGGTTCATAGGTTGCACTACTGCTTCATCATCAAATAGGCGATAATTAAAATAATCATCCCGAACACAAGCACCACCAGCACATCCACATTCTCCTCCTCAACCGCGACCTTCCACCATTTTATTATTAGCAATCGATGTTGGTTGATTAATCAAACGATATCATCATCAAATAAACATGAGGAAAAGTTGGCCAGTGGCTAGCTATGAAATCAGAAAGAAAAAACACATCTGGCACAAGGTTGTCTAAAAAACAGCCTTGAATCCTGGACATAATAACCAGCAACTAAAGTTTTGTTCGTTGAGACGAATCAAAATAGAATTGGAATATAGAACCTATAGAACGCTATCACGTACAGAATAGAAACCAAAAAAGCTGAAACAAGCCATCATTTTTTAGGAAGCTCCCGATCTCTGTCTCTACTCCTTAGAAGACACCACATCTCCTTTGTTTATCTTGGTCTCCCATTCCATAACTTTCTTGTCTACAACAGTTTCTGATCCCAAATCAACTCATTGGACAGAAGGTTTGCAGGATTCCCAATAAACAACTACACTTGATGAGTTCGAGCTGGAAGAAGAATAATAATTAGCAAAAGTTTCTATATAAGAAGAAGAAGAAGACGCAGAGTTGCTTCTGCATGACTTTTTGCCACCTTCACGAATCACGATCACCGTCCCTCGTTGCCATGAAGGAAATTGGCTGACTGTCTTCACTGTTCTCCATATTTCTTTAGCGGCGAGAAACTAACGAGATTTCTGATCAAATCAATTATAGTCAGAGTGTAGTTTTTGAAAAACATTGCCGGTTCTTTGCCTTGTAGTAATCCAATATTAGTATAAAGACCCAAATCCAAATTAGGATTTATAAGATTTTAATGTTACTCGAATAAAGAAAATCTAGCCACTAAAAGCACCAAAAATGACGGAAGGAGAAAAGTAAATAATAAAGCATCAGAATTATAATTTGCACAGGTCAAACATATACTGTAATAGCGTAACCTACTCCTTGACCACAGAACGCAGACTCATGGGCCTAAAATTGAAGCAGAAATTTTCATTAGCATAGCCACTTTATGCATCGAGCTTGCGCAATGGAGGTGGCTTCTTCTTTGGTTGAACCTCTGTCTTGAATAGAAGAAAATATAGGTTGTCCACAGAAAAATACACAAACCACCACTTGAGCAAGTAATGAATGATCCAAAACTCTTGCCAACAACGCAGTGCCATGCCAGACCATACATTTCATCAAACTCCTGAAAATGAGAAGGAAAACAAGAAAAAAAATTGGTCTGCCTGATGAACACCTATAGTGCCAAAGATTCCTTGTAAGAGCCCGTAAGTAAGGACTGGTTAAGAAGAGAGACAAGGAGAAGATGCTGAAGCCAATTAAGGTCAATTACATAAATAATTTTGGTTGTTGGCAGCTAAGCTAAATCAAGAAATCTCAACAAGGTTTGCAAACATCGGGCTTCATAGTTAATTGTCCAAGAATCTCAAACAAAAATTCATTGTATGCCAGTAAGGAAATTAACGTACATTGTTTAGTGCAACGAAAAAAGCCTAAAATCTGTACATCATGAATTGATGCGTAATTCAAACCTATGTTACTTGATAACCATAAACTATTTTTATCCAGTCTTTAGAGCTGCCTAACTTGACAGTCATTATAGGTTCTCCCTAAAAAAGTTGCTCCCTTAATACTTTGTGCTCCTCCTCAATGACTGATCTCACTAGTCAATTAGTCATGGCTAACGTTTGTGGGACAGTCTTTTTTCATGCCAGGAATAGTATTAGATGGGGAGGAGAGGAGATGGGGGTATGCCTACCTGACCTATCTGCTTGCTAATGAGCCCTCTAATAAACCGATAATAGGGAGCTTCGGAATTTTTTTTGCCCACCAGCAAATTGAAATGTGCATTCACTTGAACTAGCTAGTGTCAATAGATGCCACATTCATTTTATCAAATAGATGCTATATTTGGAACTTATGCAGTTATGCTTACAAAAAATATTCAGGCTGTCGTACTAGAACAAATTTTACACACAATCATCATTTATCAAGGCTGAAGCCATGGCAAGTCTGCATACCTTCTTCAGACACATGGCAATATGTGTGGGATTCGGCTTCTTGCTCTCGAGGCTTGTAGCATCAAGGAGTGTTCTAGTGCACCTAAATGCACGCTCTTGCATTGCACCAGGCATGGCTGCTGATCTCAGCCGTATGTTCAAGTTTACAGCTATTGCTGCTAGCTTCACTGGATTGGGTGGTGGTGGTGGTCTCACCATGGGAGGCACAGGTGGCAGGCAAGGCACCCTTTCTTTATTCTTTGCTATTCTCCACCTCCTTCCGATCTCTGCCTTGGACAGAGTCGCAAATGTCTCGTAGGGGGGGTGGGGAGGGGAGACTAGGTAGGTATTAGTAATGTTTTGGACATGAACTTTGACTGGGGCATGTACTTTGTTTCGTGTTGATTCTGGTTTTGAGAGAGACAGGTGAGTGAAACAGCGTTCCATTTTACGCAAAACATTATAAAGACAAAAATATAAGTAATGATAATAAGAGCGTGCTACACACGTGACTTAAAATTGTCCAGTGGTTCACTTGCTTTTAAATGACATATATACCAATTCGGTTATATTTTTTGATGTTGAAGGATGTCCAACTGGATAAAAAGTTGCAGAAGGTGGATGTAGATCCACTCTTCCGCGTATCAAGATGGATTCTAAAAAACCATTTAAGCAGTGGCCAAGTGGTAAAGATTTGAGACTAAAAGATTTGCTCCCTCTGTGGTCTCAGGTTCGAGTCCTTGGTTGCTCATATGATGGTCACTGGAGGCTTACATGGTCGTTAACTTCAGGGCCCGTAGGATTAGTCATGGTGCGCGCAAGCTGACCCGGACACCCACGTTAATCTAAAAAAAAAAAATGGATTCTAAAAAGGAATAAACACAAAACAAATACGAGTTATATGGTGTCACGGTTAATAGGAAAACATGCCACAGTGGACCAAATAAATGTAAATTTTTATTTAAAATGGTTCTTTGTGTTAATTTGTTGGTTTTTCATGCTTTTATTTTCTATCCTTAAACTTTTTTTCATAGGTATATGTCAGGGTGTGAATGGTAAATTTATAAATATTATTAATACTTATGTTTATATTTGTTTGATGAAAATATCAATGTCATGATTAAACTTATTCATCTTCGTCTTTATGTTATTATAGTTGAATTTGTTTACATGAATCATTAAAAAGACATAAATATTGACAATGGTTTGATTGCAGCATTAGTATAGTAGTGGAGGCAAGAGACTCGCACATTTCACTTTTATATTGGAGAGATGACACCAATGATGTAAGATGTAGTCATGCTAATAAGCCTTCCAATAGATGGAGCTCTTGTTACAAGCCTCACAACTTTCAATAGACGTTAATTATATCTTCGTCTATTGGGATGATTGTCATCCCCTAAGGGATATAAAAAAAGATTATATTAAATTGACATGGTTGAAGGCGAGTTTGAGACTCCACTAAAGGGTACGACAGAAAAGATTGTGTTGTATTATTATCCTAGAGCATACATAATACATATGTTTAAGGTCATGATCTTTACTAGTTTGACGGGCAATGCAATTCCATATTATTTTCTATCACTTCTAAAAAACTTTATTGTCATTTATAACTATGGTTGGGGTTTAATGATACTTGCATATTTGTACTGTTAATTTTGTCACATATACATGTTAAGCATGGAACAAATTGATATATGTTTATTGTTTCTAAATGTATAATTTGATATTAAGTTCTATAAAATATTTTTAATTTAAATGTTTACTAATTTTTATGTGAATATGAAGCTATGGTTATGAGAGCATCTCTACATTGGTCACCCTGATTTTTAGAGAAATCAAATATTAGACATGATTACGAGAAGACAACTCTCAATTTGAGCTTGAAAATGATAATTATGAATAATTTATAATATTTAAATTTTCTATTAAAGAAATGTCTAAATTAACTATAACTATTTTTTATATTAGTTGGGTTAGGAAACACCTAGGTATTTTACACAAAATCTCACTCATGTTTACGAGTTCAATTAGGACGAGTTGGATTCACATAAGCTTTACTAGGTATGCGTAAACTCAATTATTTAATTTTTTATTTAACTTTATTTTTTTGGTTGTTAATTTTTTTAATATATATATATATATATATAT